AATAACCAATCTCACAGTTTGGGGCTTTTTACCCTTGAATCTTCACTTTGCGACTAAACTATTCACAGGAGTGCCACATTTTCTGGGTCACTGAATGTGGGTGCCAGCGCCCTACAAGCAAACCAAAAATCAAATCAATGCGACCACTGACATTACAGCTGGGTCATGTTATAGAGAGGTACATTGAAATTCAAAGGTCAGCACAAATGGTCAAAATCCGACATTTTCTCACCTTCCTGCCCGTTCACAGCTCAGAAAATGACAATGACCAGCCTCATCTCGTTGTGCAGCTGGACATAGACAAGTGAACCAAGAAAAAGACCCACATTTCTCTAAAGAACTTGCCCAGGGCTGCTGAAAGCTGAAAAATAACCAATCTCACAGTTTGGGGCTTTTTACCCGTGAATCTTCACTTTGCGACTAAACTATTCACAGCAGTGCCACATTTTCTGGGTCACTGAATGTGGGTGCCAGCGCCCTACAAGCAAACCAAAAATCAAATCAATGCGACCACTGACATTACAGCTGGGTCATGTTATAGAGAGGTACATTGAAATTCAAAGGTCAGCACAAATGGTCAAAATCCGACATTTTCTCACCTTCCTGCCCGTTCACAGCTCAGAAAATGACAATGACCAGCCTCATCTCGTTGTGCAGCTGGACATAGACAAGTGCACCAAGAAAAAGAGCCACATTTCTCTAAAGAACTTGCCCTGGGCTGCTGAAAGCTGAAAAATAACCAATCTCACAGTTTGGGGCTTTTTACCCGTGAATCTTCACTTTGCGACTAAACTATTCACAGCAGTGCCAAATTTTTTGGGTCACTGAATGTGGGTGCCAGCGCCCTACAAGCAAACCAAAAATCAAATGAATGCGACCACTGACATTACAGCTGGGTCATGTTATAGAGAGGTACATTGAAATTCAAAGGTCAGCACAAATGGTCAAAATCCGACATTTTCTCACCTTCCTGCCCGTTCACAGCTCAGAAAATGACAATAACCAGCCTCATCTCGCTGTCCAGCTTGACATAGACAAGTGCATCAGGAAATCGAGCCACATTTCTCTAAAGAACTTGCCCAGGGCTGCTGAAAGCTGAAAAATAACCAATCTCACAGTTTGGGGCTTTTTACCCATGAATCTTCACTTTGCGACTAAACTATTCACAGCAGTGCCACATTTTCTGGGTCACTGAAAGTGGATGCCAGCGCCCTACAAGCAAACCAAAATTCAAATCAATGCGACCACTGACATTACAGCTGGGTCATGTTATAGAGAGGTACATTGAAATTCAAAGGTCAGCACAAATGGTCAAAATCCGACATTTTCTCACCTTCCTGCCCGTTCACAGCTCAGAAAATGACAATGACCAGCCTCATCTCGTTGTGCAGCTGGACATAGACAAGTGAACCAAGAAAAAGAGCCACATTTCTCTAAAGAACTTGCCCAGGGCTGCTGAAAGCTGAAAAATAACCAATCTCACAGTTTGGGGCTTTTTACCCGTGAATCTTCACTTTGCGACTAAACTATTCACAGCAGTGCCACATTTTCTGGGTCACTGAATGTGGGTGCCAGCGCCCTACAAGCAAACCAAAAATCAAATCAATGCGACCACTGACATTACAGCTGGGTCATGTTATAGAGAGGTACATTGAAATTCAAAGGTCAGCACAAATGGTCAAAATCCGACATTTTCTCACCTTCCTGCCCGTTCACAGCTCAGAAAATGACAATGACCAGCCTCATCTCGTTGTGCAGCTGGACATAGACAAGTGCACCAAGAAAAAGAGCCACATTTCTCTAAAGAACTTGCCCTGGGCTGCTGAAAGCTGAAAAATAACCAGTCGCACAGTTTGGGGCTTTTTACCCGTGAATCTTCACTTTGCGACTAAACTATTCACAGCAGTGCCAAATGTTTTGGGTCACTGAATGTGGGTGCCAGCGCCCTACAAGCAAACCAAAAATCAAATCAATGTGACCACTGACATTACAGCTGGGTCATGTTATAGAGAGGTACATTGAAATTCAAAGGTCAGCACAAATGGTCAAAATCCGACATTTTCTCACCTTCCTGCCCGTTCACAGCTCAGAAAATGACAATGACCAGCCTCATCTCGTTGTGCAGCTGGACATAGACAAGTGACCCAAGAAAAAGAGCCACATTTCTCTAAAGAACTTGCCCAGGGCTGCTGAAAGCTGAAAAATAACCAATCTCACAGTTTGGGGCTTTTTACCCGTGAATCTTCACTTTGCGACTAAACTATTCACAGCAGTGCCAAATTTTTTGGGTCACTGAATGTGGGTGCCAGCGCCCTACAAGCAAACCAAAAATCAAATCAATGTGACCACCGACATTACAGCTGGGTCATGTTATAGAGAGGTACATTGAAATTCAAAGGTCAGCACAAATGGTCAAAATCCGACATTTTCTCACCTTCCTGCCCGTTCACAGCTCAGAAAATGACAATGACCAGCCTCATCTCGTTGTGCAGCTGGACATAGACAAGTGAACCAAAAAAAGAGCCACATTTCTCTAAAGAACTTGCCCAGGGCTGCTGAAAGCTGAAAAATAACCAATCTCACAGTTTGGGGCTTTTTACCCGTGAATCTTCACTTTGCGACTAAACTATTCAAAGCAGTGCCACATTTTCTGGGTCACTGAATGTGGATGCCAGCGCCCTACAAGCAAACTAAAAATCAAATCAATGCGACCACTGACATTACAGCTGGGTCATGTTATAGAGAGGTACATTGAAATTCAAAGGTCAGCACAAATGGTCAAAATCCGACATTTTCTCACCTTCCTGCCCGTTCACAGCTCAGAAAATGACAATAACCAGCCTCATCTCGCTGTTCAGCTTGACATAGACAAGTGCATCAGGAAATCGAGCCACATTTCTCTAAAGAACTTGCCCTGGGCTGCTGAAAGCTGAAAAATAACCAATCTCACACTTTGGGGCTTTTTACCCATGAATCTTCACTTTGCGACTAAACTATTCACAGCAGTGGCACATTTTTTGGGTCACTGAATGTGGGTGCCAGCGCCCTACAAGCAAACCAAAAATCAAATCAATGCGACCACTGACATTACAGCTGGGTCATGTTATAGAGAGGTACATTGAAATTCAAAGGTCAGCACAAATGGTCAAAATCCGACATTTTCTCACCTTCCTGCCCGTTCACAGCTCAGAAATTGACAATGACCAGCCTCATCTCGTTGTGCAGCTGGACATAGACAAGTGAACCAAGAAAAAGACCCACATTTCTCTAAAGAACTTGCCCAGGGCTGCTGAAAGCTGAAAAATAACCAATCTCACAGTTTGGGGTTTTTACCCGTGAATCTTCACTTTGCGACTAAACTATTCACAGCAGTGCCAAATTTTTTGGGTCACTGAATGTGGGTGCCAGCGCCCTACAAGCAAACCAAAAATCAAATCAATGTGACCACTGACATTACAGCTGGGTCATGTTATAGAGAGGTACATTGAAATTCAAAGGTCAGCACAAATGGTCAAAATCCGACATTTTCTCACCTTCCTGCCCGTTCACAGCTCAGAAAATGACAATGACCAGCCTAATCTCGTTGTGCAGCTGGACATAAACAAGTGAACCAAAAAAAGAGCCACATTTCTCTAAAGAACTTGCCCAGGGCTGCTGAAAGCTGAAAAATAACCAATCTCACAGTTTGGGGCTTTTTACCCGTGAATCTTCACTTTGCGACTAAACTATTCAAAGCAGTGCCACATTTTCTGGGTCACTGAATGTGGATGCCAGCGCCCTACAAGCAAACTAAAAATCAAATCAATGCGACCACTGACATTACAGCTGGGTCATGTTATAGAGAGGTACATTGAAATTCAAAGGTCAGCACAAATGGTCAAAATCCGACATTTTCTCACCTTCCTGCCCGTTCACAGCTCAGAAAATGACAATAACCAGCCTCATCTCGCTGTTCAGCTTGACATAGACAAGTGCATCAGGAAATCGAGCCACATTTCTCTAAAGAACTTGCTCAGGGCTGCTGAAAGCTGAAAAATAACCAATCTCACACTTTGGGGCTTTTTACCCATGAATCTTCACTTTGCGACTAAACTATTCACAGCAGTGCCACATTTTCTGGGTCACTGAAAGTGGATGCCAGCGCCCTACAAGCAAACCATAATTCAAATCAATGCGACCACTGACATTACAGCTGGGTCATGTTATAGAGAGGTACATTGAAATTCAAAGGTCAGCACAAATGGTCAAAATCCGACATTTTCTCACCTTCCTGCCCGTTCATAGCTCAGAAAATGACAATGACCAGCCTGATCTCGTTGTGCTGCTGGACATAGACAAGTGCACCAAGAAAAAGAGCCACATTTCTCTAAAGAACTTGCCCTGGGCTGCTGAAAGCTGAAAAATAACCAGTCGCACAGTTTGGGGCTTTTTACCCGTGAATCTTCACTTTGCGACTAAACTATTCACAGCAGTGCCAAATGTTTTGGGTCACTGAATGTGGGTGCCAGCGCCCTACAAGCAAACCAAAAATCAAATCAATGTGACCACTGACATTACAGCTGGGTCATGTTATAGAGAGGTACATTGAAATTCAAAGGTCAGCACAAATGGTCAAAATCCGACATTTTCTCACCTTCCTGCCCGTTCACAGCTCAGAAAATGACAATGACCAGCCTCATCTCGTTGTGCAGCTGGACATAGACAAGTGCACCAAGAAAAAGACCCACATTTCTCTAAAGAACTTGCCCAGGGCTGCTGAAAGCTGAAAAATAACCAATCTCACAGTTTGGGGCTTTTTTCCCGTGAATCTTCACTTTGCGACTAAACTATTCACAGCAGTGCCAAATGTTTTGGGTCACTGAATGTGGGTGCCAGCGCCCTACAAGCAAACCAAAAATCAAATCAATGTGACCACTGACATTACAGCTGGGTCATGTTATAGAGAGGTACATTGAAATTCAAAGGTCAGCACAAATGGTCAAAATCCGACATTTTCTCACCTTCCTGCCCGTTCACAGCTCAGAAAATGACAATGACCAGCCTCATCTCGTTGTGCAGCTTGACATAGACAAGTGAACCAAGAAAAAGAGCCACATTTCTCTAAAGAACTTGCCCAGGGCTGCTGAAAGCTGAAAAATAACCAATTTCACACTTTGGGGCTTTTTACCCGTGAATCTTCACTTTGCGACTAAACTATTCACAGCAGTGCCACATTTTCTGGGTCACTGAATGTGGGTGCCAGCGCCCTACAAGCAAACCAAAAATCAAATCAATGCGACCACTGACATTACAGCTGGGTCATTTTATAGAGAGGTACATTGAAATTCAAAGGTCAGCACAAATGGTCAAAATCCGACATTTTCTCACCTTCCTGCCCGTTCACAGCTCAGAAAATGACAATGATCAGCCGCATCTCGTTGTGCAGCTGGACATAGACAAGTGCACCAAGAAAAAGACCCACATTTCTCTAAAGAACTTGCCTAGGGCTGCTGAAAGCTGAAAAATAACCAATCTCACAGTTTGGGGCTTTTTACCCGTGAATATTCACTTTGCGACTAAACTATTCAAAGCTGTGCCACATTTTCTGGGTCACTGAATGTGGATGCCAGCGCCCTACAAGCAAACTAAAAATCAAATCAATGCGACCACTGACATTACAGCTGGGTCATGTTATAGAGAGGTACATTGAAATTCAAAGGTCAGCACAAATGGTCAAAATCCGACATTTTCTCACCTTCCTGCCCGTTCACAGCTCAGAAAATCACAATGACCAGCCTGATCTTGTTGTGCAGCTGGACATAGACAAGTGAACCAAGAAAAAGACCCACATTTCTCTAAAGAACTTGCCCAGGGCTGCTGAAAGCTGAAAAATAACCAATCTCACAGTTTGGGGCTTTTTACCCGTGAATCTTCAATTTGCGACTAAACTATTCACAGCAGTGCCACATTTTCTGAGTCACTGAATGTGGGTGCCAGCGCCTCACAAGCAAACCAAAAATCAAATCAATGCGACCACTGACATTACAGCTGGGTCATGTTATAGAGAGGTACATTGAAATTCAAAGGTCAGCACAAATGGTCAAAATCCGACATTTTCTCACCTTCCTGCCCGTTCACAGCTCAGAAAATGACAATGACCAGCCTCATCTCGTTGTGCAGCTGGACATAGACAAGTGCACCAAGAAAAAGAGCCACATTTCTCTAAAGAACTTGCCCAGGGCTGCTGAAAGCTGAAAAATAACCAATCTCACCGTTTGGGGCTTTTTACCCGTGAATCTTCACTTTGCGACTAAACTATTCACAGCAGTGCCACATTTTTTGGGTCACTGAATGTGGGTGCCAGCGCCCTACAAGCAAACCAAAAATCAAATCGATGCGACCACTGACATTACAGCTGGGTCATGTTATAGAGAGGTACATTGAAATTCAAAGGTCAGCACAAATGGTCGAAATCCGATATTTTCTCACCTTCCTGCCCGTTCACAGCTCAGAAAATGACAATGACCAGCCTAATCTCGTTGTGCAGCTGGACATAGACAAGTGCACCAAGAAAAAGAGCCACATTTCTCTAAAGAACTTGCCCAGGGCTGCTGAAAGCTGAAAAATAACCAATCTCACAGTTTGGGGCTTTTTACCCGTGAATGTTCACTTTGCGACTAAACTATTCACAGCAGTGCCAAATTTTTTGGGTCACTGAATGTGGGTGCTAGCGCCCTACAAGCAAACCAAAAATCAAATCAATGCGACCACTGACATTACAGCTGGGTCATGTTATAGAGAGGTACATTGAAATTCAAAGGTCAGCACAAATGGTCAAAATACGACATTTTCTCACCTTCCTGCCCGTTCACAGCTCAGAAAATGACAATGACCAGCCTCATCTCGTTGTGCAGCTGGACATAGACAAGTGAACCAAGAAAAAGACCCACATTTCTCTAAAGAACTTGCCCAGGGCTGCTGAAAGCTGAAAAATAACCAATCTCACAGTTTGGGGCTTTTTACCCGTGAATCTTCACTTTGCGACTAAACTATTCACAGCAGTGCCACATTTTCTGGGTCACTGAATGTGGGTGCCAGCGCCCTACAAGCAAACATAAAAATCAAATCAATGCGACCACTGACATTACAGCTGGGTCATGTTATAGAGAGGTACATTGAAATTCAAAGGTCAGCACAAATGGTCAAAATCCGACATTTTCTCACCTTCCTGCCCGTTCACAGCTCAGAAAATGACAATGACCAGCCTCATCTCGTTGTGCAGCTGGACATAGACAAGTGCACCAAGAAAAAGACCCACATTTCTCTAAAGAACTTGCCCAGGGCTGCTGAAAGCTGAAAAATAACCAATCTCACACTTTGGGGCTTTTTACCCGTGAATCTTCACTTTGCGACTAAACTATTCACAGCAGTGCCAAATTTTTGGGGTCACTGAATGTCGGTGCCAGCGCCCTACAAGCAAACCAAAAATCAAATCAATGTGACCACTGACATTACAGCTGGGTCATGTTATAGAGAGGTACATTGAAATTCAAAGGTCAGCACAAATGGTCAAAATCCGACATTTTCTCACCTTCCTGCCCGTTCACAGCTCAGAAAATGACAATGACCAGCCTCATCTCGTTGTGCAGCTGGACATAGACAAGTGCACCAAGAAAAAGAGCCACATTTCTCTAAAGAACTTGCCCAGGGCTGCTGAAAGCTGAAAAATAACCAATCTCACACTTTGGGGCTTTTTACCCGTGAATCTTCACTTTGCGACTAAACTATTCACAGCAGTGCCAAATTTTTTGGGTCACTGAATGTGGGTGCCAGCGCCCTACAAGCAAACCAAAAATCAAATCAATGCGACCACTGACATTACAGCTGGGTCATGTTATAGAGAGGTACATTGAAATTCAAAGGTCAGCACAAATGGTCGAAATCCGATATTTTCTCACCTTCCTGCCCGTTCACAGCTCAGAAAATGACAATGACCAGCCTCATCTCGTTGTGCAGCGGGACATAGTCAAGTGGACCAAGAAAAAGAGCCACATTTCTCTAAAGAACTTGCCCAGGGCTGCTGAAAGCTGAAAAATAACCAATCTCACAGTTTGGGGCTTTTTACCCGTGAATCTTCACTTTGCGACTAAACTATTCACAGCAGTGCCAAATTTTTTGGGTCACTAAATGTGATTGCCAGCGCCCTAGAAGCAAACCAAAAATCAAATCAATGCGACCACTGACATTACAGCTGGGTCATGTTATAGAGAGGTACATTGAAATTCAATGGTCAGCACAAATGGTCAAAATCCGACATTTTCTCACCTTCCTGCCCGTTCACAGCTCAGAAAATGACAATGACCAGCCTCATCTCGTTGTGCAGCTGGACATAGACAAGTGCACCAAGAAAAAGAGCCACATTTCTCTAAAGAACTTGCCCAGGGCTGCTGAAAGCTGAAAAATAACCAATCTCACACTTTGGGGCTTTTTACCCGTGAATCTTCACTTTGCGACTAAACTATTCACAGCAGTGCCAAATTTTTTGGGTCACTGAATGTGGGTGCCAGCGCCCTACAAGCAAACCAAAAATCAAATCAATGCGACCACTGACATTACAGCTGGGTCATGTTATAGAGAGGTACATTGAAATTCAAAGGTCAGCACAAATGGTCAAAATCCGACATTTTCTCACCTTCCTGCCCGTTCACAGCTCAGAAAATGACAATGACCAGCCTCATCTCGTTGTGCAGCTGGACATAGACAAGTGAACCAAGAAAAAGACCCACATTTCTCTAAAGAACTTGCCCAGGGCTGCTGAAAGCTGAAAAATAACCAATCTCACAGTTTGGGGCTTTTTACCCGTGAATGTTCACTTTGCGACTAAACTATTCACAGCAGTGCCACATTTTCTGGGTCACTGAATGTGGGTGCCAGCGCCCTACAAGCAAACCAAAAATCAAATCAATGCGACCACTGACATTACAGCTGGGTCATGTTATAGAGAGGTACATTGAAATTCAAAGGTCAGCACAAATGGTCAAAATCCGACATTTTCTCACCTTACTGCCCGTTCACAGCTCAGAAAAAGACAATAACCAGCCTCATCTCGTTGTTCAGCTTGACATAGACAAGTGCACAAAGAAAAAGAGCCACATTTCTCTAAAGAACTTGCCCAGGGCTGCTGAAAGCTGAAAATAACAAATCTCACAGTTTGGGGCTTTTTACCCGTGAATCTTCACTTTGCGACTAAACTATTCACAGCAGTGCCACATTTTCTGGGTCACTGAATGTGGATGCCAGCGCCCTACAAGCAAACCAAAAATCAAATCAATGCGACCACTGAAATACAGCTGGGTCATGTTATAGAGAGGTACATTGAAATTCAATGGTCAGCACAAATGGTCAAAATCCGACATTTTCTCACCTTCCTGCCCGTTCACAGCTCAGAAAATGACAATGACCAGCCTCATCTTGTTGTGCAGCTGGACATTTACAAGTGCACCAAGAAAAAGAGCCACATTATTCTAAAGAACTTGCCCAGGGCTGCTGAAAGCTGAAAAATAACCAATCTCACAGTTTGGGGCTTTTTACCCGTGAATCTTCACTTTGCGACTAAACTATTCACAGCAGTGCCAAATTTTTTGGGTCACTGAATGTGGTTGCCAGCGCCCTATAAGCAAACCAAAAATCAAATCAATGCGACAACTGACATTACAGCTGGGTCATGTTATAGAGAGGTACATTGAAATTCAAAGGTCAGCACAAATGGTCAAAATCCGACATTTTCTCACCTTCCTGCCCGTTCACAGCTCAGAAAATGACAATGACCAGCCTCATCTCGTTGTGCAGCTGGACATAGACAAGTGAACCAAGAAAAAGACCCACATTTCTCTAAAGAACTTGCCCAGGGCTGCTGAAAGCTGAAAAATAACCAATCTCACAGTTTGGGGCTTTTTACCCGTGAATCTTCACTTTGCGACTAAACTATTCCCAGCAGTGCCACATTTTCTGGGTCACTGAATGTGGGTGCCAGCGCCCTACAAGCAAACCAAAAATCAAATCAATGCGACCACTGACATTACAGCTGGGTCATGTTATAGAGAGGTACATTGAAATTCAAAGGTCAGCACAAATGGTCAAAATCCGACATTTTCTCACCTTACTGCCCGTTCACAGCTCAGAAAATGACAATAACCAGCCTCATCTCGTTGTTCAGCTTGACATAGACAAGTGCACAAAGAAAAAGAGCCACATTTCTCTAAAGAACTTGCCCAGGGCTGCTGAAAGCTGAAAATAACAAATCTCACAGTTTGGGGCTTTTTACCCGTGAATCTTCACTTTGCGACTAAACTATTCACAGCAGTGCCACATTTTCTGGGTTACTGAATGTGGATGCCAGCGCCCTACAAGCAAACCAAAAATCAAATCAATGCGACCACTGAAATACAGCTGGGTCATGTTATAGAGAGGTACATTGAAATTCAATGGTCAGCACAAATGGTCAAAATCCGACATTTTCTCACCTTCCTGCCCGTTCACAGCTCAGAAAATGACAATGACCAGCCTCATCTTGTTGTGCAGCTGGACATAGACAAGTGCACCAAGAAAAAGACCCACATTTCTCTAAAGAACTTGCCCAGGGCTGCTGAAAGCTGAAAAATAACCAATCTCACAGTTTGGGGCTTTTTACCCGTGAATCTTCACTTTGCGACTAAACTATTCACAGCAGTGCCAAATTTTTTAGGTCACTGAATGTGGTTGCCAGCGCCCTACAAGCAAACCAAAAATCAAATCAATGCGACAACTGACATTACAGCTGGGTCATGTTATAGAGAGGTACATTGAAATTCAAAGGTCAGCACAAATGGTCAAAATCCGACATTTTCTCACCTTCCTGCCGGTTTACGGCTCAGAAAATGACGATGACCAGCCTCATCTTGTTGTGCAGCTGGACATAGATAAGTGAACCAAGAAAAAGAGCCACATTTCTCTAAAGAACTTGGCCAGGGCTGCTGAAAGCTGAAAAATAACCAATCTCACACTTTGGGGCTTTTCACCCGTGAATCTTCACTTTGCGACTAAACTATTCACAGCAGTGCCACATTTTCTGGGTCACTGAATGTGGATGCCAGCGCCCTACAAGCAAACCAAAAATAAAATCAATGCGACCACTGACATTACAGCTGGGTCATGTTATAGAGAGGTACATTGAAATTCAAAGGTCAGCACAAATGGTCAAAATCCGACATTTTCTCACCTTCCTGCCCGTTCACAGCTCAGAAAATGACAATAACCAGCCTCATCTCGCTGTTCAGCTTGACATAGACAAGTGCACCAAGAAAAAGAGCCACATTTCTCTAAAGAACTTGCCCAGGGCTGCTGAAAGCTGAAAAATAATCAATCTCACAGTTTGGGGCTTTTTACCCGTGAATCTTCACTTTGCGACTAAACTATTCACAGCAGTGCCACATTTCCTGGGTCACTGAATGTGGATGCCAGCGCCCTACAAGCAAACCAAAAATCAAATCAATGCGACCACTGACATTA